TTTAATATTCACAAATCAGTAAATGTAATATATCACATAAACAAAAGCAAAGACAAAAATCACATGATCATATCAATAGATGTGGAAAAAGCATTTCATAAGGTACAGCACCCATTTATAATAAAAGCACTAAGCAAAGTGTGAATAGAGGGAGCATTCCTCAATCTAACAAAGGCCATATATGACAGACCTACAGCCAACATTATATTCAATGGGCAAAAACTAAAATCTTTTCCACTAAGATCAGGAACAAGACAAGGTTGTCCACTTTCATCACTTCTATTCAATATAGTATTGGAAATTTTAGCCACAGCAATCAGACAAAAAAATAAATAAATAAATAAATAAATGGCATCCAAATCAGAAAGGAGGAAACAAAACTGTCACTGTTTGCAGATTACATGATAGTGTACATGGAAAATCCTATAGACTCTACCCCAAAACTGCTCAACGTAATAAATGAGTTTGGCAAAAATAGTGGAATACAAAGTCCATATTCAGAAATCAAAGGCATTTTTGTATACCAACAATGAAACAGCAGAAGCAGAAATCAAGAAAAAAATCCCATTTGATATAGCAAAAAGAAAAATAAAATACCTAGGAATGAACCTAACCAAGGATGTAAAAAACCTGTATACAGAAAAGTACACAACATGAAGAAAGAAATCAAAGAAGACACAGACAATTGGAAACATATACCGTGTTCATGGATTGGAAGAATTAACATCATCAGAATGTCCATACTACCCAAAGCAATATACAGATTCAGTGCAATATCTATTAAAGTACCAATGACATATTTCACAGACATAGAACAAACACTTCAAAAATTTATATGAAACCATAAAAGACCCCAAATAGCAGCTGCAATTTTGAGAAAGAAGAGCAAAGTAGGAAGGATCACAATACCTGATACCAAAGTGTATTACAAGGCCACTGTAATCAAAACAGCCTGGTACTGGCATAAAAACAGGCACATAGACCAATGGAACAGAACAGAGAGCCCAGAAATAAATCCAAGTCTCTATGGTCAATTAATATTCAACAAAGGGGGCGGCAACATAAAATGGAGTAAAAATAGCCTCTTGAACACATGGTGTTGGGGAACTGGACAGCTATGTGCAAAAAAAATGAAACTTGAGCACCAACTTACACCATAGACCAAAGTAAATTCAAGGTGGATAAAGGACTTAAATATAAGCCGTGAAACCATTAAAGTCCTACAAAAGAACATAGGCAGTAAAATCTCAGATATTTCAAGCAGCAACATTTTTACTGATATGTCCCCTAGAGCAAGGGACATAAAGAAAAGAATAAACAAATGGGATCTCATCAAATTAAAAAGCTTCTGCATCACTAAAGAAAACAGTATTAAAATGAAAAGGGAACCAACCATATGGGAAAACATATTTGCCAATGATACCTCAGACAAGGGTTTAATCTCCAAAACATACAAAGAACTTACAAGACTCCACCCTAAGAAGACAAGCAACCTAATTAAAAAGTGGGTGAAGAACTTGAACAGACACTTCTCCAAGGAGGACATACAGAAGATCCAAAGACACATGAAGAGATGCTCAATATCGCTAGCCATCAGAGAGATGCAAATTAAAACCACAATGAGATACCACTTTACACTGGTCAGGATGGCTATCAAAAAAAGCAACAAACAACAAATGTTGGAGAGGTTATGGGGAAAAGGGGTCCTTAGCTCACTGTTGGTGGGATTGCAGACTGGGACAACCATTATGGAAAACAGTATGGAATTTTTCTCAGAAAAATAAAAATTGACCTGCCTTTTGACCCAGCAATTCCACTGCTAGGATTATATCCTAAGAACCCTAAAGCATCACTTTCAAAGAACCTATGCACCCCAATGTAATAGCAGCACAATTTACAATAGCCAAGTGTTGATAGCAACCTAGGTGCCCATCAGTAAATGAATGGATCTCAAAACTATGGTACATTTACACAATGGAATTCTATGCAGCAGAAAGAAAGAAGGAGCTACTACCCTTTGCAACAACATGGATGGAATTTGAAAGCATTATGCTGAGTGAAATAAGCCAGACAGTGAAAGACAAATACCATATGATCTCGCCTTTAACAGGATGTTAAACAACAAAATAAACAAGCAAGCAAAATATAACCAAAGACACTGAAATACAGAACAGGCTGACAATGACCAGAGGGGAGAGGGGAGGGAGTTTCAGGGGAAAAGGGGCAGGGTTTACAGGAACTAGTATAAAGGACACATGGACAAAAACTAAATGGGGTGGAAATGGGAGGGAGGTGGGGAGCACTGGGGCGGGGGAGTGGGCTGGGATGGGAGTAAGATAGAAAACTGTACTTGAACAATTAAATAAATAAATTAAAAAATATATAACTTCACTGTATTGCAAAGTGCAGACTCTGTCCTGTTGCACTATGTGTCCCACCACATCACACTGCAGGGAGTGCCAGCTCCCTTATATACTAAATGCACACAAACTGGCAGGATGCCAAGATATATAATAGCATGATTCTGTGTATGTGGGCCCATTCTCAAGAGTATGGAAATGCTGCTTCTCTTCGTTGCCCAGACAACTAGGTGAGGGAGCTCGACTTACTTCATTTTCCCTATACTGGAGATTTGATCTGTTCTTTCATTTGGGCCATGCTCATTTTGGCAGCCTTCTTCTTGTGTTTGTTTCTATGTACTAGGTAGAGCTGCTATGACTCCGTGTCTTGGTAGTGTGGCCTATTATATAGTAAGTGTCCCATAGGGTTCAGTGGCATAGCCTCCCTATCACCTAGGGAGTTGGGTACTCAAGTTTTGCCCTCTGTGTGGGCTGACTACATCCTTCTCTTGTGGTTGAGCCTTGGTTGCTGTTGGCAGGTCAATGGGAGGGATTTACCCAGGCCAGTCAACTGCAATGATTGGCTGTGACCACTGACCAGCAACCTCAACCCTCCATGGAGTATCAGCTGTGCAGGGGCAGGGTGGTGGTGTTCTGATGGAGTCTGTAGCTGTACGTTCAGTATGCTGGTCCTGGAGTACTTAGGTGGTGCAGGCCAAGGTCCATTGCTTCTTATGTTTTGCTGGGGCCACCCTGCCTGACCTATAAAGCAATCTGAGTTCAATACTTGTGCTGGGCTTGGAGATTCCCAGGGAAAGCCAAGCTCTGAATCTAGGCTGATTGTTGCTAGTGCTGGGCCCGGACCCACTAAGGCCAGGTCTTGCTCATTTGATGGAATTTAGAAAGTTGTGAAGCAGGAGCCAAGACCAACCTTTCATGTGGAAAAGCAGGGGTAGGCCTGTAAGTTGAGTGATACAGTCTCTGGACATGTCAAAGGCAAGTCAAATAGTGTTATCCAGGTTGATGGAGTTTTAGATATGGCACCAGCTTGCTGGCTGTGTGGGGTTTAAAAAACAAAGAACGGCCTCTGCTCACCTTGATGCCAGACCTTTCAGTGTGTCCCTATATGGAACTGGTGACTCAAACTACTACCCCAGCCCCAGAGCTTAGTGGGAAGGAATGTCTTAGTAGCCCATGTGTGGATCCTTTAAGAGGAACTGCTTGGGGCTCCAGAGGTTTCTTCCACTGACTCAGTCCTCACTGGTTTTTGCTGCCCTAAGCTGTGGGGACTTACCTTTCTGGCACTGGAATCCTGGGCTGGGTGGCCTGGTATGGAACTGGGATTCCTTGCTTCAGATACCCCTCCTGAACTTCTATCCATTTACACATGTGTGGGACTGACCTGTTCTATCTGCACCCCTCCTACCAGCTGGATAGATGTGGTTTAATTCCATAATTATCAGATTTCCATTCAACTTGATTTCTGAGTTTTGAGCGGTTGTTCTGTATTTTAACTCTGATGTGCTTGTGCAAAGAGGCCAGCCAGCCACATCTGCCTTATGCCATCTTGATCGGAAGTCATTTTTCTTGTCTTTAAATTGACTACTGTGTTGCTTTAACTCTTCAGGTAACTTTCTTGCTTAAAGGCCATCTTTAAAAGTTTTTTGTCTGGACCTATTTCTACAGTGGGTACAATCAAACATTGTTTAAGTACCATGTCATTGGTAAAGGGCTTTCCTTGCTTGGCTAACAAGCCACTTACAAAGTTTAGTTACAGCCTTGTGGTAATTTTTTATATCAAAAAAACAGTGCTGAGATACCCATTTAAAATACTTAATTCTCTGACTGTTGCTGTTTTTGTAAATTGGGGATATTGTGATGAGTGCTTACTCTGGTAAAATCAACAATATTCTTTAAGCACAGCTAAAGTATCACTACAAAACAGACACAATGCTTTGCCACTGGAATTCAGAAAATAATCCAGTCCACTGTGCACTTAAGTTCATTTTCTGTTCTTTTGATATGATATGCACTAGTAATAAAAGCACATAAACTTCACAGCACCATAATACACGTGGCACACAACGTATGTCACACTAAAACCACGTCACTGCCATCTGTACTGTATCCAGCCCCACTTAGCAATGAGTACTGTATATGGTCTCTGTCAGAACTAAACTCTTATAGCACAAACACAGCCAACTTAGTCACTATCATATTAAAGATTTAACAAATACTGGATAAAAAAATGTTTTGACTGCAGGTTTTTTATGAATCTGGATTAACTAATTCAAAAGTACATTTTGAGGCCATCAGAAACTTAAAAATATTTGAGGTAAAAACCCACTGTACTTCAAGACACCCATGTGCCACTTGCATACAAATAAATTGTAAAAGATAAAGTTCATTTGCTGATTTGAACCACAAATAGAACTTCACATTGATGATACTGATACAAAATGGTAGTCAGTAACCCATGCTAGTATACCAAAAACTAATTTAGCATCAGTAAATGAGCAAATATACATAAACGAATCTGTTAATAGATGAACTGCTTTCTCATTCTCCATAATTTAATTTCTAATGTCAACTATCTCATATTGAAGTCTAAAGTATCCTTATAGGTTAAATGTGCACAGCCTAACACAGAAAACCATGTAGTCAATTAAGCAAGGTTTTATTTATTTGGCGTCAACAACAAACACTGCAGTTTAGTACTTAAACTTGCAGTTAATGGTGACCCTTTTATCCAGGGAGAGTCACTAGAGACAGCGATGAAATCTGCAAACAAAAACTATGAGACTGGGACACAGGCACTGTGAGCTTGCCTAAGGTAAGATGGTGTGTACTCCTAAATTTCAGCTAGGGCAGGCAAGCCACAATTACTGATTCCTTTCCTTATGGACATGAACCAACAGTGTTTCTTCTAATCTTGTCAAAAGCTGCACTCTACTTTATCTATTTAAATACAGAAACAAAACAAAAGATATTCAGTCCTCAAAATAAAATCACATTTTCCAAAAGTATATATGATATATTCAGAATCACTGATTGTTTTTTCTTTGTATTTTTTTCCTTGAATGTGTAGGTGTTTTAGTTTCTTGTGTTTCTTCTTTTATGCCAGATAAGGGTTGTTTAAAAATTATTTCATTATCTTCATTGTCATTCATTTCAGCCACTTCAGATTTTCGTCTCTCCAAAAATGTTGGTGTACAAACTGGTGTAGGGTCCTGGATTCAACAAATAAAAAATTGTAATACATAAATATGGGAAGATATGAGGAATGACTTTACCATCTCCCCCCGCCAAAAACATCTCCCCTCTATTTTTACAAGTTGTCCTGTGTTACTACTTCTGGCCTATTTCCATCTTTTAGTGATGTATTTGCACATAATTAAGAGCTTAGGTGCTTATTGAACTCAGTATGAAAATTCATAATTAGTTGTAATATAACATACTCTATAATAGGGTATACGGTAGAAAACTCTGATCTTACACTTATAAAAACAGTGGCCTTTCTCCTTCCTAATCAGTCACTTTGCTTAAAAGGTAAAAACTGCAATAATAAATTCACAATAATAACTTTGGCTAATAAGCTCACTGTATCTGCTATAGTCATAAAATTAAATCTGAAATTTTAACAAAATGACAGTAGCAGAAATTGTTTTTCCCAAAATATTGAGGGCAATTTTACCTGGCTGCTCGCAGTCTTCTCAAGAGTATTAGGTGTGACTGAAATCTTTTTTTCCTTCTTCCTAGGTAAAACCTTCGATAAATTTTAAGAAACTTCATCAATTTGCATATTTATCAGTTATAGTAGTAGAATATATTTTCCCATTCCTCTTTCTCTAATACCCGGCATGCAATATAAAGAAAAATTTTACCTGGCTATTTGTGGATTTCCAAAGATCAGTGTTTGGAGTATTGCTTTTTCCCTTTTTATGTAAAATCTTAAGTAAACATACAGAAGTTATAAACTGGCAGTAACACATATTTACATTTTTAACTTAGCATTACATCCTTACACATATTATTAGCAGATCCTTCCTAAGAGACAGAGCATTTCAACTTAAAAAAGCAGTATCTGCAAATACAGTGAATGAACTTAAATAAAAAGCAAAAACTAGCAAAGGGGCCTGAGGAATGGGCAGAAGCTATAGAACTTGAAGTGGGGCTGAAGCCTGGAGCTGGCCTGTAGAATTCCGCTTCAGTGGCCCACCTCCTAAACAGTTCATGAAAGTACCAGGCCCACAGACTGCGACACCATGCTTTTTAAACACATTCTGGTAAAGACTATATTTGGGATTTAGGCAAAGACTTAACAACCTAGAATTGAGTCAAAAGAAGATAACTCAGTCTTCTACTAGTTAGTTACCTAGGAATAGATGCAGCCTCTTACAACAAATTAACCAAGAAAGGGTGTATGAAAGATCCAAAGTATCCTTGAGATTTAGTCAAGACAAGAAATATGATCTTCACCTATACTAGCCACACCCTGATGACCTGCATTTTTGTTTTCTAGTAAAAGGCACAAAGCTCTCTTTAGTCTCAAAGAGGGAGGACAGAATATATAAGAAGCAAGGATATATAAGCTGTATGAAAATCTGTACAAACTTACTTTCATTAAGTAGGTTTGCTATAGTTCAACTCGGGCTCATTTAATTCAGAGATGATACTTACTGGTAAAATCATATATATATATATATATATATATTTTTTTTAAGATTTTTAAAGATTTTATTTATTTATCTTTAGAGGGGAAGGGGGAAAGGAGAGACGGAGAGAAACGTCAATGTATGGTTGCCTTTTGTGCGTCCCCTGCTGGGAACTGGCCTGCAGGGAACTGGCCTGCAACCCAGGCATGTGCCCTGACTGGGAATCGAACTGCGATGGTGTGGTTCGCAGGCCCGCGCTCAATCCACTGAGCTACACCAGCCAGGGCTGATATATATTTTAAGAATATTTTAAATTTAAAACAACATGAAACAAAATTTTAATTAGAATGGTATAAAAAGGATAGTCAATTTATAGTCTTGTTGTTACTGATAATATATAATACCAAACATCATTTAATTCTGGTAATGACGCTTTTAATAGCAATCTACAAGCACTGTGATTTTGGTTAGTGGTTTAACTTCAATTTAAAAGTATGAAAATTTGCAAATCAGCTAATCCCTTTCCGGAATTTCCTCTTCTGTAACTGGATCTGCTCTGACATACTTCTAACAATAACAATAAACAATGCAATGTTTAAAAAATTTAGTCAAACCCTAGTATGTGGTAAGCACAGAGCTAGATACTTTATACATGAAACCATAAACACGGTTCAACTAGTAAGATACAAAGCCCACCCTCAAGAAAAACCACAAAACATATTTCATGAAGGAATATTTACCAATGAAGGAAAGTTATAATCAATTCCTTTCTTAGCTAATTTCTTCCTGAGTAATTTTTCTTTCTTTTTAAATCGCTCCTCCATCCGCAGCTTTTGAAGAAGTGTCCGATTCTGATTATACCTTTTCACTGCTGGGTATGATGGCTTCTTAAATGGAATATGCCACTCTCGGAAAAGTTCCTCATGTACTTTCTCAGGTGGCATAAAATGACCTGTCAGTAAAAAAGTAAAGTTTTCAACCAAGTAGGGGAGGTACAGCACAGTATTGACCCTGCACATGTAGTCCCCTGACACCTTTTAGTTCATTTACTCAGCGCATTTTCTCCTGGCAAGAGCCATGTTTTTAATGTGAGCATGAACTCACGACTTTAATAAGGCTACTAGAATTCTCTGTCATAGCAATAGGAACTGAGATAAAGAGATGCTACTTGGGCAGCCTCATCAGCTACTCGATCAGATGTGCGAGACTTAAGTACCTGGGATGTCACACTCCAACATGAGCTCTGAAACTTAGCTTAAAAACTTAACTCTACCTCTAAAGGGCACTGGGAACCACAGAGGTGTGCTCTGGAATGTAAAGTCAGCTCTACTTTCTATAGGATGATTTTCTAATATGGTGTTGTCATTTCTCTACTCCTTAAAGCTTCTATTGCAAAGAGCTTCAGCCAATGTCACTCACGACTGGCTCTGAAATGTAATTCCTTACCTTTAATGTTATCCCATCTAGAACCCATATGGTTTTCCACTGTCCTCAGGATATACATGCCAAACTTTCAGATTTATAAAGACTTCAAATGACCCAACCTCCTCTTATCTCTTCTGTCTCTTTCTCCCCATGTCTTGCTATTCTCCTTACCTCCTCTCAGGCAAATACTGTTGGTCACTTCCAGTTCTGCCATTTGCTGTCCCCTTGGCCAGGACCTCAATCTTTATGCTCTTCCCCCAAATCCGGCTCTCTCCTATATCTTCAGATTTCCATATAAAGGATACTTTCTCAGGGAAGCCTTCCACATCCCATTAAGGTGGTTAGTTGCTCTTCCTATAGACCCCTAAAGTTTTTTGTCTTAATTCCACCTCAAGATAAAAACAGCTCTTACCCTGGAACATTTAAAATTCTACACAGAACCTGTCTGAAAAATGCACTTAATACCAGAAATCAAGTGAGATATCCAAGTAGCTAAGAAATCTGTCCCTCACACCACAGTAACCCATCAGCAGTAGGCACCAGGCAACCCTAAGGTAAAATAAGAGCACTTACACTTTAAAAGTCTTTCACCAAAAAGGTAATTGTTCATCGTTTCAGCAACTATCTTGGCAACATCTTCAGATTCAAACTCCACAAAGGCATAGCCTTTGCTATTTCCAGTCTGCAATGAAAAAATCCAACACAAAACTCTAACAATTAAACTCTAATGCATCAATAAACTCCTAAATTGTGCTTAATTTAAATAATGCACACTAGTCTTATTAGTGAATAACATTATGGCACCTTTAATTCCAACTTCAACTCACATACTAGAGAATATCTGAAAATGGAATACATGCTAGACTATTATACTGAGGTTCTGAAGAATGACCTGATTTCTAGTAGATTTATGGTGAAGTATTTAAAGTATTATGACTGCTACTCTCTTCAAAAGGTTCAGTAAAACAAAAAAGTGTATACATTTTTATAGCTATGGAGACACGAAGCTAATATGTCAGGATGTTATAATGGGTGAACTCAGAAGAAGGTAGGGATGTTCACTGTATTATTATTATTCCTTCTACTTCTCTGTAGAATTGAGAAATTTAAAAAACAAAGCTGGGGGAAACAATGATTACAGTATATTAAAAAAACCTTTACGAAGTATCTCACAAAATGCAGAAAAGTTTTAGCAAAAGGCAATAAGGCAAGATACTTTAGGCAATTCACAGAAAACATAATTCGAATAGCTAATAAACACATGACACTCAACAAAATCAATTTAGTAGGTCAAAAAGGCATTTTTATTTATTTTTTAAATTTTATTTATTTTTAGAGAAAGGAGAAGGAAGAAGAAAGAAAGGGAGAGAAACATCAATGTGTGGTTGCCTCTCAAGTACACCCACTGGGGACCTGGCCTACAACCCAGGCATATGCCCTGACTGGGAATTGAATACGCAACCCTTTGGTTCATAGGCCCATGCTCAATCCAATGAACTACACCAGCCAGGGCCAAAAAGGTATTTGAAACAACTGAAAAGTAGTGTCTCGTATGACTTTTATTTCAGTTATGTTTACATACATGTGTATGTGTGATGATTTCTGGTATAAAACTTATTTCTTACGATAGGGTCAAAAGTCTGAAACATACTACTCTAGAGAAAGTTGCCTATACCTGAGCAAAGAATGTCCCCAACAGTTTCACCTGTAAGAGTGAAATATTGTACAAACCTAATGTTCAACCGGAAGGTAGATTAACTTGAGTATGATCACAGTAATGCCAATGAATGTACTACAGTTAAAGCTCAAAACAGAGTGTTGAATAAATTAAGTTGAAGAATAATAGAATAATACTATACAACCTATACTGATACATGTAGTAAAGACTGTAAAAACACATACAGCAATTAAAAACACTGAGTTCATGAACAATAATTTCCTGGGCATGGGAGGAAGGGAAGTACAGAGGACTGGGAAAGGGTACAAAAGGGACCTCAAGTATATCTAAAATCTGTTCTGGAAAGAATGAAGATCTAACGTGAGATCAAGCCAACAACTGATAAAAGGAAATGGTGGAAACCTAAAAAGTCACTAAATCATTCTCTAAGTAGACATCAGGATGTTTGAAGCAACCATTACAAATAGGCAAGTGAAAAAAAGGGGAGGTATACACTGAAAATGTATTATTTTGGTTAGGATGAGATATCAGGTTATTTTTCATTTAAAATCCTCTTTTGCCCTGACCTGTGTGGCTCAGCTAGTTGGGTGTCATCCCACAAATCAAATCACTTGATTCCCGGTCAGGGCACATGCCTGCATTTCAGTTTTGGTTCCAGATTGGGGCATGTATGAGAGGTGATGGATCTATGTTTCTCTCCCTCCCTTTCTCCTCCCTTCCCAACTTCTCTAAATATAAATAAATGAAGTCTTTAAAAAATCTCCTTTAATGTTGAGATGCTGCTTTGAAAAAACTAAGTATCTGCAATTTTAGGACAATGGGTGGATGATGGATGCATACATACCTAACCTCCTCAAATACTCAATCAAATGTAAAATTTAACTCTGATGAAAAATTGTGGGAAAACTGTATCAAGAAAAACAGAGATTCCAACAAAGAGAGGTTTCTATGATTACAACCAATAAAAGTGTATGTGTATGGTAAGAAAAAAAGTGAGCCATTCCTCTATTACTGAAACAAACCATATAAACCTTTGTAATTACAAGGTAGGATAATATAACAATAACACACATACACAGTGTTTACTGTGTGTATCAGGCATTGTTCTAAGAACCTTACATTCATTACCTCATTTAATCTTTGGAAAGATACTCCTAGGAAGTTGATGCTGTTTTATTAATATTTTACAAATCAGAAAACTAAAGCATGGAAAGAGTATATAATTTGCCTAAGGTCATACACCTAGTAATTCATAAAGGTCAGGCCTTGAACATAGGCAGCCTGGCTCCAGTGTCCCAATTCTTAACTCACTATAAATACTTTGCTATTATAGGGATTCATACACCAGAGGCTAATTAATACAAGAGGTAAGAACCTGTTCCTGAAACTTAAGTTCATGTAAGATGACTTGGTAGCCACAGGACAAATATGGTTCCTTTACCAAAACCGTCAATTTAATTTGAGGATCTGGGGTAACAACTTTATTTAATAGCAAAATCAGTATTTACATTAATACTGATTTTGTTTTTGTGGTTGTTTCAGGTTCTAAACCTCACCCATGTCCCCCTTTTCTGGTGTGAAGTGTGATAAGCAATAACATGTGAACATGCTCTCAAACTGTGAAGGATGACATACTTTCATAAAATAAAATAACCTACTTCAATACAAAAATCTTACTTTTTTACTTCTGGACAATCTGAATCTTGTAACAGTGCCAAACTGGGAGAAATATGCTCGGATCTGGGTTTCATAAAGTGCTGGAGGTAGGTGGCCCACATAAATTACTCCAGGAGTAAGTTTTTCTTTTTCTTGCTTCTGTTGCTGAAGACATAAAAATCAGGAAAATACTTTAATTAAAAAAAATCACATTGCAACAAAACTTCCAAAATCCTAGCTTAATCCAAAACAAGAGATGAAGAACCTACCCCATATTTCCACTTACCAAAGGATTAGTTGTAACTAAAGGATTGTTTAATGTCTCCCACCAAGAAAATGGTTAAGCAGATTGTCTTCTCAGCGCCAGCACCATGTGAGTGCTCAATCCATATGTTGACGCAATAGCTAAGCAAACATATTATTTTACATTACCTGGGCAGAGAACTCCACATAAACATACCCTTCATTTTTGCATGGAGACCGTTTATTCGCATCCACCCAATCCAACAACTCCCAGACAACTGTTAACCTTCACAATGCCGACAAACATTTCACCATCTAAATCATCACGCACTTGCCTTAACAAGAACTTTCTAAGTTTTCCAAACGTGTATTTCATGTTACAAACCAAAGGAAATATAATTTGGATGTCAGGGGCCCTATCCAGCAAATAAACTCGACAAATAAGGTCTTTTAAGAACCCCCACATCATTAACCGGGCAAACAAACCTCCAGAATTCGGGGGCAAGGCGGAAACTTGACAGCTTTAGTCTAGAGTTAATCTGCGGTAGGAGAAAGCCTGTCCGGGCATTCGGCTGTCCTTTTCTCCTCTTCCGTCCTGTCCTTGAGCTCCACAGGAGGACCCTAACCCATCACAGGACCCTTAACCCGGCAAAACCCATCATTTCCCGGTTAGCTTAAACCTCCTAATCTCCGAGAACCTCGGCCCCAAGTTCGTAAAGTTGCTGGCCTCCCTGGGAGACCCTGGAGGTAGCACGGGTGTGAGGAGGCCGAGGAGCGCACGGAGAAGGAACCGCACAGAAGACTCCTCAGACCCCGCCAGCCACCTCCTCCAGCAGTCCACGGACGCCGCTCACCTTAGCTGCGCGCCGGCGAACCTGAGCCACCTCCTGGTGAAACCTGGCCTCCTCCTGCGGGTTCAGGGACAGGAGCGGCTTGGCTGGGCCTGCAAAAACCGCCATGCCCATAAGCGTCCCAGCTGAACAGTTCCACGAGCTAATACCGGAAACTACGAGCCCGTAGCTTCTTTAAAGCGGAAGTGGAGGCGGCTTTGGCGCTGGCGCAGAGGCGGGGCAAGGGGAGTGGGGGCGTGGCAGAGTCCTGGCAGGGCTGAGCGGGGCGGGGCGAAGCAAAGCGAGCTCAAGCGCCTCCTGCTGGAGGGCCTCTTGGCCTCGCTCTCATACTTGCCATTTGTCTAAAGTGGCCTTGGTAACTTGTTCGCACATACTTTGTGGTCAGCCAATTTGGAGCAGGGTAGGAGGGCGTTTAAAAAATACAAACTTGCCCTGGCTGGGGTAGCTCAGTGGATTGAGCGCTGGCCTGCAAACCAGAGGATCGCAGTTTGATTCCCAGTCAGGGCATATGCCTGGGTTGTGGGCCAGTTCCCAGCGGGGACCCACCAGAGGCAACTATACATTGATATTCTCTCCCTCTCTCCATCCCTTCTCCTTTAAAGATAAATAAATAAAATATTTAAAAAACTCCAAAATAAAAATAAATTCAAAATAACATCTGTGATCTTGAAGTCTTGCTAACCGTTCTTTAATTCTCTTTCTTTTTTTCACTCACTTGTTTTGTGAGCCCTGTGTGTTCGTGTGCTGCTTCCCTTTAGTAAACTTCCAGACTGGGAGAAGGGCTGGGTAAATGACGTTTGAAGGTGGGATTGGTACTGCAGAGCCCCGTGGGAAAGAAGCACACTGGATGACTCAGGAGGGCCTCACGGAGGAAGTGCAATTTGAGCTGAAACCTGAAGGCTGCAAGGAGCAGAACATGAAGACCTGGAAGCCCACGTGCATATAGGCAGGAGTACAGCACATGTAGCATCCGAAGGGCTGGAGAGAAGTAACCGTCCAGTGTGGCTGGAGCTCAATTGAGTGAGGGCAGAGAAGTCAGGGCCAGGCTGGAGCTTCAGGGCTCTTCATGTCAAGGTTTAAAACTTGAGGTTTCTTGTAAATGAAAGGGAATGTGAGGGTTTTAAGCAAGGCTGGGAATGTTTATCCCTTTAGTAAGGGATAAACTAGTAATGGATATCACTGTAGTAAGGGTGGAAGAGTGGATTGCAGAGGAAGCAGGGAAATGGAGGCTACAGGAATAGTTTAAGCAGAGCTGGTCTGGGGGATAACAGCAACAAGTGTTCTGGAACAAGTGAAGGCCAAGTTTGGCTGATGCCCAGGTGTACGAGTGGGATGAGTGGAGACGAGTCTGTCGGGTAGAGTGGCATGGGAGAGATTATACAGATGAGGGCCAGCTTGCTTCCTCTGGGAGGCACTTGCCTCCCATGCCTGCTTTTGTCTCCTTCCCCAGTCTCTTTCAGCTCAATTCAACCCTCACTCCTCAGGGCTAGCCATCTATAACTCTGTAGCTGGGTCAGCTCTTTCTCTTAAGTGTTTTCTTACAACTGTGTTTTCATGAACAGGTTGAATTGTCAGGAGAGAGCAAGCAGAGAGCAATTTTTTTCTTTCTTAGGACTCCTCCTTTGTATAGGCTCTTTCTAAATGGGGTACCAAACTAGTATGTGTGGGACCACTGAGTGAAGAAATGTCCCACCCAAGGTGTGGGTGGTCTCCTCTCCCACCTCTACATGTCAAAACACAAAGAAGGAAGGGAAGGAGGGAAGCAGAGAAGGAAGGAAAGAATGAAAGAAGGAAAAAGGAGGAAAAGGGAAGTAAGGACAAACACATGTGGCACTAGCCAGTCACCTGGGCATGAGGAAGGCCCCCTGGATAAAATCTTGGGGAGAGTTGTTCAGGTGTTAGCAAATAGAAGCATTTTCCAGGTGTTTAAATCTGATATCAAATATCTCCTCTCCCTCAGCTCAAACCTATCTTAGGTGAGAAACTCTCAGGACGCCACAGTTGACATCATCTCTTTTCGCTCCACCTTCTCCCTTGCACTCCACTTCTGTTTTGGTCTTTTGCAGGGTTAGTAATGCCACTTGTAATGGCAGCCCTAGGAAACCAATATGGTTTCCATGATTGCTGTAGTCTGAAATGGTTTTTTGAGGAAAATGCTGTCATGTACCTGTCTTGGCATGCTATGTCCAGGTGCTGGAAGAACTCCCAGATGTTCACGAAGAATTCCAGGCACCCTTTCCTTGGTCCTTCATCAGACAATAGAAGGCAGCTGTTAATGGGAACAGACAGAGTCTAACCCCAGATCCTCAGTGCAGTCCAGACTGAATCTGCTTTTTTTTTTTTTTTTTTACCCTATGAGCTATGGCAACTCTTAGTTGACAATGACTTCCAGTGATGCATGCTCTGACCTCATTCCTCTGTGCCTCTGCTGCCCTTGGCTTGAGGATAACTCTGGGAACTTAGCAGGTGGTCACAGGTATCCTGGTCAGCGTGTCCAAGAAATCTGTAAAACCCTGGCCATTTGCCTACTGGAAATCCTCCTCCTCACTGGGCCTCAGGTTTCACATCTATAAAAAAGAGTTTGGGTAAGGTTGCACTCTTTAGGGGCAGCAGCAATATGACTAATGTTCAGAATAACTGCTGGTCTTCCTCATGCCCAGCTAGTGCCATGTGTGTTTGTCCTCACTTCCCTTTTCCTCCTTTTTCCTTCTGTCATTCTTTCCTTCCTTCTCTGCTTCCCTCCTTCCCTTCCTTCTTTATGTTTTGACATTTAGAGGTGAGAGACTACCCACACCTTGGGTGGGACAGTTTTTTACTCAGCTGGACTGTCCCACACATACTAGTTTGGTACCCTGTCCCCCAGCTCTTAACCGCCAGTCATTGAAATAACCAAAATACCTCCAGGCACTTCCACACTCCCCTGAGTGGACTGTTGAGTGTGCTCACTGCATATGTTTTCCTTCCCTTTTCTCCACTGACCTCCCATGCCTCTGTTGGGACAGAACAATAGCACGTCATTCCATGCTACCACCATCATCACCTATAGGCTGGTGCACCTGCTGGGTGAGCCTAACACGGTGAGGACTGGTGGCTGGGATATGAGGTAGGGTGAGCAGTAGAACTGGGTGGGCAGCAAGTGAGAGTGGGTATGTTGAATGTTCAGGAGCTGGGCCTTAGGAGGAGAGTACTCTGTAGGGTGAACCTGAGGGCTGGCAGAAGAAGGGACACAAGGTGGGCATTGGAAGGGGCCAAGGTGCCTACTTAGCCTTGCCCACCTTTCCCCTCCTCTGTTCTCCTCCCTTCCTACCACTCTGCCTGGTTCCTGTGGAGTCATCCAAACGTGCCACCCCTGATAGGCGGTCGAGCTATTGCAGTTTGCCTGCTTAGATCTGCTCAGGCACAGGGCTTCTGAGGATGGACCTGAAACGGATAATTTCTTGGAAAGAAGGGGGGAGAAACTCATCTCTGTCACTAGCCTCAACAGTGCATCCTCAATAAATATCCTCTGACAAACTAAACATTGGTGGCTACATGATCATGGGAAAATTTTTATCTTTGACCCTATTGAAACCCCAATAAAGTCTCTGCCTTGCCTTCCTCTCACTCCTGCTTCTGCTTCCTGACCAAACCTGGTGCTTTTCCCATGTGACCCTGCATGGCACGGTGTGCCCCATTCTCCTGAGAAATGTAAGTAATAAACTCTTCTTTTAATGACATTGGCCTTTCCATGTTGTCACTCTATCATCTCTATAATTAAAATTCTGCAGGTACAAATGAGATGCAGCCTAAGGCTCATTGCTTTTTCTCTTTCTTTACTCTGACTTTCTAACCCCTGTTCTCAGACTGCAGGCCACACCTCCCAACTAGTCTTTTGTTTCCACCCCTTTTTGCCCTTCAAGAGAACTTGCAGAAGTGCACCATCCATTGTATAATCTTCTGTGTTACTAAAAGAGGTATAATTTCATCCTTGTATCAGCCCAGAATGTCTGCAATGCTAATATTCGCACTGGGAAGAGTGCAGCCAAGCTGGTGGACAAGGGTGTGGAAATTAGTTTAATCTCTCTGGAGAGTGATTTGGTGGAATATGTCAAGAACTTTAAGATAAGAACCTAACATTCTCTTCCTGGGTGCTGCTTAGAGAGGTGGCAACCATCTCCTACTGGGTACAGTGGTTTCCCTCAGACCCCTCATGAAACCCAAGATCATCAAAGAGAAGACTAGGAAGTTCATCTAGTACCAGTCAGCCCAATATGTCAAAATTAAGCAGAACTGGTGGAAACCCAGAGGCATAGACAATAGGGTGTGTTGAAGATTCAAGGGCCAGATCTTGATGCCCAACACTGATCACGGAAGCAACAAGAAAACAAAGTTCATGCTGTCCAGTGGCTTTTAGAAGTTCCTGGTCTGCAATGTCAAGGAGCTTGAAGTGCTGCTAATGTGTAACAAATGTTACTGTGCTGAGACTTCTCACAATATCTCCTCCTCGAAGAGCTGAAAAGCCATCGTGAACAGTGCATCCAGCTGGCCCTTAGGGTCACCAGTCCCAATGCCAGTCTGCGAGGTGGAGAAAATGAATAGACAGCTTGTGTACAGACTGTATTTGTGTTAATAAAACCATAAAATTCTGCTAAAAAAACCCCCAGAGCTCATCAAAAGAAATAATCTTAAAGCCTGATAAAGGCTTACAAAGACTTCCATCACAATGCTATTTCAATAGAAAGAATTGAAACCAACCAAAATAGCTTATTGACAAGGGACTGACTGGGTTAATAAACATGGTATGTCCATTTGACAAATAAAATTACATTAACAATGTCTGTGTTTCAAATCAATGTCTGTGTTTTAAAATTTATAAAAATGAGAAAATGTTATTTTTTTTAATGACAAAAGTTATTAGAAATGAATAAGAGAAAGATAAAAGGGCCTTGACTGGTGTGGCTCAGTTAGTTTGGCATCATCCCACAAAGCAAAGGGTTTGTCAGTTCAATTCCTGGTCAGGGCACATGCCTGGGCTGCAATTTGTGTCCCTGGTCAGAGTGACAAGTAACTAATTAATGTTTCTTTCTCATATGGATGTTTCTCTCCCCCTCTTTCTCTCTCTCTTCCCCTTTCTCAAAAAGTAAATAAATAAAATCTTTTTTAAAAATAGGGAAAGGTAAAATGTTTAA